AATTTCAGCATTTTTCGAACTTTGAGGTCCTTTTGCTAAGAATCCTTGCGTCGGGGAACTCTTTGGTAAACGCAGTTTAACTTGGGAATTCGTAACGAATCCAAAAATATAGCATTCATCGAGGTTAATTTTTGATGCTGCATAGTGTTATTGGCGAAAATAAATTAAAACCGTTATAGATGCTATTCCGAGGGATTAAGTGGATGAAGAAATGATGAAATAATGGAGACCCTTAGTTATGATATGAGTCTTATTCAGTCGTTTCGTCGAGAAGACTTTTTTGGATTAAAAAATCCCATGATTGGCGAGAGAGCATTCTGAGCTTTTTTAGTAATGAACGGCTTAAACAAATGTTCAGGGTGTCCAAGGATCAGTTTTTGATGTTGTTGGATCTAATAAGAAACAAGAGAGAACGGACTGTGTCCCGACTATCTAATATACGTCACTCGGCTAAAGGGAGTGCGAGGGAGATGGATATATAACATTTTTTGATTTCGTATAACTTTTTAATGAATGGTCTGATTATTTTCATTTCGATGGGTATAAATATACACAACAAAAATCCTTAATCTTTAAAGGTGTGGGCGCCAGACACATTTTAAAATCGTTAGTGGGCGTTAGAGGGGAAAATAAACTTGCGCTGCGTAGGAAGCCCAAGAATATGTGTGTATGTATGTATGTATGTGTATGTAATCAACCTTCTAGCTTTTGTAGTTTCCGAGATCTTAGCGTTCATACGGAGACATAGAATATCGATCGTATTTAATAGTACTTTAAATAGTATTTTAAATAGTTTAAAATAGCTCTGAAAACATGAAATGGTACCCTCAATAGTTGTCCCAGAATCTTCCTCCTCTATTCCTGCTCCTGTTGACTTACAAAAGTCTTCCGCCTTTCGCCAAGACATCTTCAAATTTCGCACGTTAAAACGGACACTGTTCCAAGTGACGTCAATTTCTGTAGCCTCCAACAACTTCTTGTAATACATCTGGGGCGTTTAGGCTTAAATATTAGCTACAATTATAACTCCTCAACATTTTTGTGCTCCAACATATAGCCTAGGACTTTATTAACTTCGCTCTCTGACCATCGCTTAGTTTCGACCTCCCTGGTACGCTTTCAAGAGGGTTTTTCTTCCATTGAAATTATTCTTCAATTATTTTGATTTATAAAAGACAAATTTTTTTCTCTTGCATTTAAAAATCAAATTTGTTTCTTATGCCCTCTGCTCATTATGGACGCGTCGCGTTTGCATCCATTTACCGTTTAACGCGCCCAAATCCCATACAAAACTTGTAGGCGAGGGGTGAGGAGGGGAGGGTGGAAATTTGTCGCGTTACAGGGCTGGAAAGTGAAATTTGTGGTATATTTAAGCAGTATTAACCAGGCATGAACATTTTTCTGGACCCGAAACTGATAAGAGGCTGATAAGAAGCGGGAAATATTAAAACCATTTATTGTTGATATTTACATGAACTTTATTTCGTATAGATTGGTATTTGATATATGATATATGCCAAATGATCTGGCAATAGTTCAGAATTCCGAGGATGATCCAAGCGCATAAAGAGCAGTAGCAGTTCGTTTATCCAATGGAATGGCTCGGCTAGAAAGGATCGGAAGCGAAATATTGGTCGTTGCAGCGCAGCCACATGGGCTTTCCCGTCTCCATGATCTTGACGTTTGCTTCGCGTGCGCCATTCGTCCATTAAGGCGACCTCCTGGTTAGACCGTAGATGGCCATTCTATATTCAAATGACACACGTTGACAGGCGACTGCTGGAAATGGGCACAATGTTCTTGTAGGCATTTCTGCCCCGTATCAGATTCTGTTTAGTGACGTGCCGCCGCAGAAGCTACTGCTGTCGCAGGTCGTGTCAAAGAATTAATTAAATGACTGTTCAGATCTATATATATGAACGCCTTCTGCAGCAGATCCTTTTGCTTTCTGCCGTAATAAATGCTCAAGCAGCGTAACGTGGGATGTTGTTGCTTTCATCATTGCAGCAATGTTTCCACGCTGTTCAAATGCTGTTCTGCGATTACAATTATCAATAACAAATTATTTAAATCCATTGTTTACTTCAGCTCGCAAATGACAATAGCACAACAGCTGTCAGACGCGTTTGCCAATGGAAACACCTCACGTCCGCCTATCGCGTTGCCAATCGAAAATACACAAAAATACCGAAAAAACCGCATAGTGGAAAAATGCCTTTAGCTTACACTGTCATTATCATGGATTCAAACCCAACTTTTCGGTATATTTTTAGTATTTTAGCTTAAATTCCTACCCATTATTAACCCCCTATTTTTACACAAGTTCAACGGATTTGTATACATAGGCTGGGGTGTTGTAGGCCTAGCAAACTATTTTGTATGGAAATTGTTGTTGGAACAAACTTACACTTTTCACTTTACAACGTTTGCAACGCAATTGAATACCCTAATTGACTTTTCAGCGGCGAGTATCAGCCTTGTGTTTGTATAAACAATCACAAGAGCCCTCAGAGCAACGTTTGTAGTCCGCAATTTGCTGACGTGTGCACCTTGTACTGGTGGTAAATTCGATATTATCCGCTAACAAACTTTGTTGGTCAATTACGATTAAATTTATATGTATCCCCAAAAATAATATTACTCATAAATGACACTAGCCAATATTTTATTAAATAAAATTATAATGTGAAAACGAACTTAAAATCATGAAGTGCTAAGTTTTCAGAAGGGACAACCTTGACGGACAACCTTGACAATAGGGGATCGTATTGCGCGGCCCGCGACGATCCATTTGGCACACGAATGTGTGAAGGGGAGGGAATGTGGCCGAAACATTGCCCGATCGTGTTACGATCAAGCAAAAGCTTAGCTAATGATGACCGACGGACTTTACGACTTTTACTAATTTTCAGGCATCTTTAATATTTATTCTCGTTATGTAAGACACGGTTGCCACTTCAAAATTTTTTTATGAGCCAAAAAAATATTAAAAATGAGCACATATGTCGGAGCGAGCCGGATCGGACCACTATATCTTAAGGCTCCCATAGGAATATTCAAACAAATATAAGAAAATTCATTGTAACTTTGTAGGAAGTAGGCGTTTTGATTCTTGACTACTTAAAAACTAAATTTAAATAAATAGAAACGCTGAATCTGGAATCCCTGGAACTGCGCCGAGTAAGCATTCTTTAATCTACAAGGGTATATAAGCTTCGGCTGGCCGAAGGTAGCTTCCCTTCTTGTTTTTTTTAAATTTGTTTTCAGTTTGCTAAAAAACGTCAATTTTGAAAAAGCACCCTCTCATTAAGAATCTGTATCATCGGTTGACGTAATCCGATTGACTTCGTGCCTTTTGCATCAATTCCTATTAAACCTCTTCTATAAAAAAAAAATTTCAAAATAAGTTTTTAATTCCTTAAAAATAAAAACAAATTAATATATCCATTTTTTTAACAAGGTTTCGACTTTTTTCCTATTTCATAGAAGCAAGTTGGGCTAATCTCTCACTTTTATCGGATCCTTGTGGAATTCATGTTTTCTCATCGTTTACTAGTCCTTTAAAAAAAAATATTTAAAAATGTTAAATAAATTACATAATACCAAAAAATAATAAATAAAAAAATTTTAAAATTATTGTTTATTAAATGGAGGGTTAAATAAATAATTGTAGTTTTTTAATAGATAAAAAATGACTTTTTCTTTTTGTCATTCACAAAGGGTCAGAACACTTAAAACTTAACTTTTAGTCATTAAAAATTGTTAAAGGACTAGTAAACGATGAGAAAACATGAATTCTTGTTCCTTGTTCTTGGGCCTTGTTCAAAAAAAACTATATTTTAAAAACTAATAAATGTTAAGTTAAAAAAAATTTTCTTTTTTTTGGGGAACCCGTTAAAAAAATTGTTTAAATCTTATTTTTTTTTGTTTTTAAAAAAATAATAACTTAATTATACCCGTTACTCGTAGAGTAAAAGGGTATATTGTATTCGTGCAAAAGTATGTAACAGGGAGAAGGAAGCGTTTCCGACCCTATAAAGTATATATATTCTTGATAGGGGTCACTAGCCGAGTCGATATAGTCGATATATTCTTGGGCTTTTTACGCAGCGCAATTTTAGCCGAGTGCCACGCCCCCTCTAACGCCCACAATCGCCCAATAACGATTTTAAAATGTGTCGGGTGCGCATACCTTTAAAGATTTCCGAAAAGTATAAATGCAATTTTGTTGTGTATATTTATACCTATCATTTTTCAAATCGGATCATTAATTAAAAAGTTATGCGCAATCAAAAAAAGGTTATATATCCATCTCCCTCGCACTCCCTTTAGCCGAGTGACGGGTATTAGATAGTCGGGACACGAACCCGACTATAGCTTTCTCTCTTGTTTTTTTTTAAAGAAGAGGTTTTTAAGGAACTAATGCAAAAGACACGAAGTCAATCGGATTACTACTACCGGAGACACAGATTTTCAATGAAAGGGTACTTTTTCAAAACTGACGTTTTTTAGCAAACTAAAACAAATTCAAAAAAAATTTTGTTTTTTCGGCCAAATCCTGATACACGTGCTTACTTATTTTCCGAATAGTACACATAAAACTAAAACAAATTCAAAAAAAAATTTTGTTTTTTCGGCCAAATCCTGATACACGTGCTTACTTATTTTCCGAATAGTACACATAAAAAAAGTTTCAGGCAAATCAAAAATGTGACCCAAGAAAAGGGTTTCGGTTTGTAAAAGAACCGCCCATATACCAAATTACCATACCAGCGAAACAATTTTGTTTCGATCTGGCACTTTTGGGCTTCAAGCATTAATCACTTTTAAAATTGCAAAAAATATGCATTCTTAAAAAAAATGATTCGTCTTTTTCAAGTTTAAAATAATTGTCGCTTTTAGCAAAAAAGAGCCATATTCAATAAAAATGGGCCATAGGGCCAACGCGAAAAAAAAGAGCCAAATCTGGCAACAGTGGGCATAATACAAAAGAAGCTTACCTTTCGATTAATTCTGTCAATTTGACGGTTTTGATTTTCCAGCTCAGAACCCATATCCAAAGCCATGTTACGGAGGTTTCCTATCATTGTGTTTACTTGGCCCATGTTTTCTTCCATTTCATCCTCTCTAGCATCATTCGTTATCCTAAATAGAAAATGTATTTTTTATGTTCATAGTTTTTTTTCTAAAGATATATGTATGAAGATATTAAACAGATTATAGTCTAGATTATAAAACAAGAGGGAGCGATATAGTCGAGAACTTCGACTATTAGATATCCGTTACTCACCTAAGGGGAATGAGAGGGAGATGGAGATATGCAGCGGCCATTTCATATTTTGTTCATAACTTTTTAATGGATTGTTCGATTTGGATTGTTCGATTTAATGGATTTCGATAGGTATTAATAAATGCAAGAAAATGGCATTTAAGCTTTTACAAAATCTGTAAGGATGTGGGCGCCAGGCTTTTTTAAAACTTGCGCTGCGTAGTGTTATTTTCAGTGTGGGTTTCGAAAGTTAGCGAATTTCTTAAAGAATTTCACTAGTGTTTGTAGAATCACTTTTTATTGTTTTATAATTTTAGGTTGCCCCTAGAACATAATCTAGTGACAGTAGGCCGCTAAACCAACACTTGAATTGGGTTAACTCGGAGATGTTGAATACACAAGTATTGCTTGAGTACTGATTTTATTTGGGAATATCTGGGGTTTATATACATGATTTCAGAGTCAAGGGGGCCACCATGGCGAAGGTATCGCATGGGGGTTTGTTAGTTATAAATACATTGCATCACTTAGGTTCTAAGATATACAGAAATACAAAGTCATACAATTTGTCTCCCATGCAAGGGATTAATAGGCTAGGGTTAGTAAAAATAGAATGCTGGAACGGCAGGTAGCGGGGTTTGAGCTGGCGCTGGCTGTGGCTGCTGTTGACATCTTAGGGACTCAAGTGCAGGCGCTAACATACTCCCGGCCGTTGAACAGGTGTTCAACATCATCCAATGTTGATCTCAAAGGCGTCGGACGAAGGCATCAGATGGTGCATCCTTGATGAGCTGAGTAACCGAGGTTGTTCTGCTAGTTCGATGTCCTTTGAAGATGATGACGTTTGTGGAGGTGTCTTCTTTTGGAATCGTTTCCACAAGTAAACGACTATGACTCCGAGTGACAAAAACAAGGCAACATAGGCACTTATGTGGTGGTGTGGTAGATCAATGATCTCTGTTGGCATTTTTATTTTGAGCCTGGGAAGTAATTCCTTACTAAGATCATTTAGCTCATTATAACTCAACTTCAATGAATTATTTAAATTTGAAATCTTAGTATCCGCTGCAGACGATTGATTTAAATTGCCAAATCGAGCATATGACAATTTCATCGCTCCTGTTGACGTCACTTGATGGCCAATCACACTAAGAATTGAGTTTCGTAGAGTGCACTTTGGGTCCAAAACTAGAAGTCCAGTATTATCAATATTAATGGTTGATAATTGATCGCCACATACTGCAGAGAGCTCCATTGGTGCTTGCATTGAGAAAATCCATTGATTTTTGGCCTTTAGTCTTTGCCATGAAAGGGATTTCGTAGATGTCACAGTTTGGCATAGTGACGACGATTTGTTATTAAACAATTGAAATTCGCAGTGATTGTCAATTGAAAATATCATTTGCTTATCTGAGCAAATATATACGTCCTCGTTAATGGACTTGCATAGATCAAATTCTTTAGCTGTCATAGCAATGAATTGATCTCTGTGTTGATTCACAGCTATAATTGGATGTTCAATATCCAGTGATATCATTTTGTTGTCGACTATCACAGGTATTGGTACCAAATTATAAAGCTCAAAAAGCTGCGTTGAGATCAAAGGCAGTGTAATTTTGAAGATGACATAATCCTTTACAACCTTTGCTTCTGCTTTCATCAACTTGTACAATTGTAACACATCGTCCTTAATCATGGGAAGCATTTTTCCTTGAGGCATATGAGTTTTAAGTTTATGTATATGCTCTTGAAGTTGCTTTGGCGATACGAGCAGCGGACTTATTTCATTGTGATGAACATTTGTCAACACATGCGAAATTTCTGACTGGACTCTTTGAATACTGGCCGCCAATACACTCAATTGATTGGTTAGTGCTATATACCATTGAAAGGTTTTTAACGAATCAAGTCGCGCGTTGGTTAAATCCACTCTTTGCTGGTTCATGATTCTGATTCTTCTGTCAATGGCGGCCTCATCTCTTTTCATTATATTTATGGTGGAATCAATTATTGATGTTTGATTCTTCACCAATTCCAAGAGATAATCTTCATTCGTTTTGACCTTTTCAATGGTCAACGACATCTTTTTGGCATACTCCGTGTCCAATACTCCAAAGAGACTGCTGGCAATATTTCCAACAATGTTCAGCGGCGAGCGTCTATTCCTGGACATATGGAGTAACTCATTCTCAGTTCGGATTTCCTCGTCGACGTGTTGAAAATGCATGTATAACGCAGCACATGCTTGTACTGGTTGTATGTGAGAACACATTTGGCCGACCTTTATCGTTCCAAGGTAAAATGTTTTTACGTCCTCCAAATAAGGTTTTAAATCGTAATATGCGATAATTGTCCAATCAGCAGTTTCCAGTTGAGTTGTCCCAAGTTTTTCATAGTAAATTCCAGGTTTTGATCCCAACCTGGTTATATTTATTGGACTTGCCGCAGCTAGTGGTAGCAGCAGTAGAAGGATTAGCAAGGGCATTGACAGGAGGGGAAGGGTTGTGCCTTTGCGCCTTTTTGGTTCCTGATCATCCTTCTCATCCTTCTCATCTTCGTCATTTATATCCTTACGTTTTTCTCCTGGATCCTCTTGACGAAAAAGTGGAGCAAGATTATGAATCGCTCTTTTGAATACACCTTTTGGAGTGTCAACCTCTACAACTCGTACATATCCATCTGGGCCTGGAAGGAGCCTTAAAATCCGTCCAATGGGCCAATGAAGCATAGGCACATTGTCTTCTTTTAGAATTACCATCATGCCCTCTTTTACGTTTTGATATGCTTTTTTCCATTTAGGATGTTGTTGAAGACTTGTTAAGTATTCACTGGACCATTGCATCCAAAATTCGTGCTTCAGTGACTGCACCTGATCCCACTGTGCAGATAGGGATTTTATTTTTAATGGCTCGGGATCTGGTTGTGCTACAAGTGGCTCTCCAATCAGGAAATGACCAGGTGTAATGAACGTCCGATCCTTTGGATCATCAGAAATTGGAGTTAGTGGTCGGGAATTTAACACAGCTTCGACATTTGTTATAACTGTGCTTAACTGCTCAAACGTGAGCTCAGCAGTGGTCACCTTTTTCAACAATAATGTTTTTGCTGACTTTACTGCTGCTTCCCATAACCCACCAAAGTGAGGTGCTCTTGGCGGAATGAATTTAAATTGAATTCCTTTTGTGTTACATAGCTGCACTATGGAGTTCTTAGCTTCCTGAGAGTGTATAGTTTCCTTCAATTCCATTAGCTGGTTGTTGGCTCCTACAAAGTTTGTAGCATTGTCGCAGTATAAAGTTTTGCACCTTCCACGACGGCTTATGAACCTTTGTAGCGCTCCAAGAAATGCTGCAGTTGTTAAATCTCCAACGACTTCCAGATGTACCGCCTTCGTCGCAAAACATACAAATACGGCGATGTATGCTTTATCAGGTCGCTTGCCTCGGACCTTGTGATGAATCTTCAAGGGTCCACAAAAATCCACTCCAGAGTTTAGGAATGGTCTATTTTGAGAAACCCTATGCTCAGGTAGTTTTCCCATAACTTGCGACATCAATTTTGGACGATATCTTGTGCATGGAATGCATTTCATGATTACATTCCTAACCATGGAAGTGGCTTTGACAATATGATATTGTTGTCGAGCAATACCCTTCAAGGTATTTTGGCCACAATGCATATTTTCGGTATGTAGTTTTACTAACAACATTTTCACAATTTCGTCGTTGTAAGGCAATAAATATGGATTCCTTGCATCACGAGAAATTGGTGCGTTTTCGATTCTTGTTCCTACTCTAATAATAGAGTTTTCGTCCAAAAACAAGTCAAGAGAGGACACCTTACTGCTGCTGGGTATCGGTCGTTCAGGATGTCGATGTAAATGTTTCAGCTCATCTGCGAAGTCAGCTTGTTGTACACATCGTACTATTATCCTCCTGGCTTGTTCCAATTCGTCCAACTCTAGCAGCACTGTATCCTTCCTGTTTTTACGATAACAGAATCGTAACATATAGGCAATTATACGTTGTAGACGATTAAATGAGTTTCCGTGGTTAATACGGTATATTTCGTCTCCTTCCGAACTTGTTGCAAGAGTGACTATTTTTAGCTTTCTCTCCAATGAGATGCTGTTGTTTTTAGGGGCCTTAAAGAGGGATGGCCATTTCTCTTCAGGTCCGTGAAGAAATAGTGGTCCGTATAACCATAAAGTGTGTGCGCCTAATTGAGCTGCGGGGATTCCTCTTGATAACACATCTGCGGCGTTGAGATTTGATGACACATGTCTCCATTGGTTTGGACTGGATGTGTCTTGTATTTTGGACAATCTATTTGCAACGAATGTATGGAAATTCGATGCCTTTGCATTGATCCAACAAAGTACTATTGTTGAATCTGTCCAGTAAAATGTTTTAATGGATTCTGTGTTAAGTCTTAGATCCTTTTTGACTTTGTCGGCTAGTTCGGCTCCTAGAACAGCCGCGCACAACTCCAACCGTGGTAGGGTTTGTTTTTCTAGAGGCGCTACTCTTGACTTAGCGCACAACAAACGTACAGTTGTTTGTTTGTTTTTATAAATGGCTCTTACGTAAACAGCTGCACCAAATGCCCTCTCAGAAGCATCCACGAATATGTGTAGCTCCTGTTTTTGTGGGACTTTCCCATCATAAATGTGACGTGGAATTTTCATTTTGTTTAAATGTTGCAGATCCTGTCTGATGGCCTCCCACCTTTCCTTTAGGGAATCTGATATTTCCGTATCCCAATCCAGTTGTTGAAGTGACAGGGTTTGCAGAAATATTTTGGCCCTTATTATCACTGGTGAAAACAGGCCAAGAGGATCGAAGATTTGACCGACCTCAGAAGCTACCACTCTTTT